CCCCCCCCCCCCCCAAATCCTGAAGCTCTCCAAGGCAAAAGGAAGACTTCGGGAGTCTTGGGACCTGAAAGGGAGGGATAGGAAGCTTTGTATCAATTTAAGTTAATTATTTTCAGGATGTGGATCCAGTTTACTCCACCATAACTGCACTAACAGGATTATGGGCAATCGCAACAAACAGCTAGCCCTGTTCTGCCCCCCACCGGTCCCCACATATGGACTTCCTGCACCACTTAAGGTACAGAGGTGTATCTGAATTTGACACCCCCACCTCCAAGAAATTGATTAGTTCCATTGCACCAGACTTGAAAATCAAGGAAATCAGTGACTTGTGGTACATTGTGAGGGTTTTGTGGGCTGAGTAAATTGACCACTTCTTTTATTTTTCTGTAGACAAATTGTAAAAAAAATGAAGTGTGCAAACATGTGATATAGAATCAAAACAGAATTGAAACTCTTCCTCAATCCAATTAATAAGCATTTCTGATCATGATTTTAGCATATGTATCAAATGAAGAACCTTACTGCTTGATTAAATTTAATCCAGCTACCTGAGGAACTTGAGTGCTAGTGTACAGAATGCAGGATTAAGACCTGGCTTGATCAGTTACTGTTTTTTAAACATTGTATATGCTTTGCTGGTTTTTGTATATTTTTAGAGGTTTGGATATTGGTTTATGACTGTATTAAACTTGATCTGATGTGGCTTGAAATCCCTGCTCATTTATGCAAAATTCACAGTGAGATATTAGTAATGTTAAAACATTTCTTTAACATCTCACATAGCTGAAAACCTAGGTATTAAGAGTTGCTTTAAATTGCAATCAACTTAGCAGCAAGCAACACCTCAACCGGTAGAATAATTTCCCATCACACAAATCTATTAGCCATCTTTGGAGGTCTTCCTGTGTGCCCATCTACCACAGGAAACTAGGGAGAAGTTGAGCAGAAGGTCTCTTGATCACTGGGCCCCATATTGTGGAATACCTTTGCACAGAGCAGCTTCCCTGGCACCAGTCCTAATTTAATTACAGCACCAAACAATGACTTTTTGTTTGTCCAAGCCTTTCAACACCTAGCTAGAGCTGGCCTGATGGGTTCTTTGTTCTACTGCATTTGACTGGGTGGCTTAGAGGCTGCATCTGCTATTTTACTTGCTGGGAGTTTTGTTTATCATTCTCTCATTCAGTGAAGGGTGGCATAGAAATATGCTGAAGAACCCGTAATAGTCTTTGTCTAACAACTAACTACAGTTAGTAGTACAGTCATTCATCAACACATTTAACTAGGAAGGAGATCACACGGATTTCAATGGAACTCGCATACAAACATTCTTCACCTTTGTCTCCCATGATTCCATTTAAGCAGATCAATTAAAATGAAGACTTTATTTTCATTCAAGTTTTGTTTTTTAAAAAAACGAACAGCTGCAAAAGTGTGCAAAAGCAGCCGTTTAAGAATTTTGAAAACCTCTGCATTCCTATTAAACTGTACACTCTGTACAAAAGACTTAAAACATTTATTCTTCGAATTCCAACTACACAATGAAGCACTGAGTTGCAACAGTGGATGAACATATACGCAAAAAAACGGGCCAAAAAGCCAAATATAATTGCAAAAGGAAAAAAAAACATAATAAAGCCAGTTAAGTACACATTCGTTATCCTGGCCTCTCTACTTCTGAACTCTCTTCCTGGGCTTCAGGGTTGTCTTGGCTTCGGGAAAGGTCTTCTGTAATCTGGGTTTCCTGGCTCCCTTCTCTACAGTTGTGGGGGAGAAAGACAAGTGGAAAATTAGAAACACTGGTCACAGTTAGATGGTCAGAATACAATAAAAAACATTTGATATTAATACATTAGATATTTGGTGCTAACATGAATCTACCAATGATTTATATCCCCACATAAAACCCTACTCACACCAGCTTTCAGACACTCTTGAGTCTCATAAAATTCAGTTATAGCAGTAAAATTCATAGAAGTAGTTTACAGTATTCTAGGGTACATAAACTAGTTTGATACACATGGTGAACTGAGAGCCTCCAAGCACTGAGTAGACCTCTCTGTGATTTTTATCCCTTGCCTAAAACAGAGTGTTCCAGTGTGCAGATAATGTCCAAAAGAAGTACAGTGTCATAGTGCTGAGCAACAACAACATAGTCTTCATCTCCTGCAGCCCCTGGCACAGTTTCAAAAGCTGTCTGCAAGTGATCATTTAAGGCCTCCACAAGAGCTCGCTCTCTCCTCCCCAGCAGGCTAACAGGTGTGGAAGAGAGAAAGAGAGAGAAATCAATATCTGCTTTTGGCCATTGTTTGATTAACAGTGAGCAAGGATGGGCAAAGTGTCCAGATGTATTTGTGTAGGCACTCTAGGCATTCTTCACTATGACCACATGGGCTGGATTGAGAAGAGAAGAAGTCTAGACACTTCTGGAAGGCTGCCACTTCCCCAGCTCTGCCGCTTGGGGAATTTTACCTGGAGCAATTCATTTGCACGAAGGGAAACATCCCGTCTATGTCTGGGGACAATGGCTGGATGAGCTTCGGGAATGTTTCCCTGTTACTTTCATAAGAACAAAAGCAGCACACTTCTCAATGGTCCAGCTAAACTACCAGGCTTCATCTGAGAAGGATGAGAACCTGCTTCAAATGGGGGTGGCTGGAACCTCAGAGATAGCCAATAAGAACTGAACATTCTCGTGAACATAGCAAGCAGACAGCTTTGTTGGTAAGCTGCAGCATCCACAAAGGCCTGGGCAAGAGCTGGTCTTGTCTGACCATATGTTCTGGGTCTGGGTAGAACGTGGATGATACAGAATCTGTCACAGTCAAGGAAGAGTGGCAGTGATGGCCCCAGTCCTACAGAGCCTAGCAACAGACAATGGAATGAGTACAGCCTGTGAAGTAAACGTAAAAGACAGGCACAACCACACACAGGACGAGATCAACAAATAAATGTATTCGCGAAGGCTTTCACGGCCGGGATCTAATGGTTGTTGTGGGTTTTTCGCCCGAAAAACCCACAACAACCATCAACAAATAAACTCTGAATTTGCCATCACCATTGGAAGGGTTTCCTTCAAAGGGAATGGAAGACTATTGATTAAGCAAGCGTGAGTACCCTCAACCAAAAAGCCTTACTCTCTTAGCAACTGACAATGGATGCCCCTGCCTTGATTTGATTTTCAGCAGCACAAACTTCCTTGCTGAGCCTGGAAATTGTCGTCCTATTTTTACTGTCCCATTTTTTTTTGCCCTGCACATCTGTTGCAATCTTTTAGAATGAGAAACTAGTGGCAGTGCAGCTTTCCTCTTTTATAGTGTTCTTCGGGAATAGTCCAGATAAACTATTAAGCTTCATATCAGAAGAAACCAAGTGCGTTTGTGGGGATAGAAACATATCCTACGTCCTTGCCTGAGCCCTCCGTCTAGTCTGTAAAAATAAAAATGTATCCCATTGTTCTTGCTTCATGGTTTGTGGACCTTACCACTGCAAGACCTGTCCATCTGACAATTCTGAAACTCCCAGTGCCTTTGACACCCTGTCCACTTTTACCTGAGGCCAATAATACACTAACCTAGGATACTTGCTTAGAACTTTGGTAAAAGTGTTGCATTAGTTTTTCCTCTGAGAAGTCCCAGTTCCCAGAAACAATCTTTGATATCTAGTTCCCATGAAATAACCGGCAGTAACCAAGGTTCCCACACGCCAGAGTTACTCTTGACAAAATGTCTAACGAGACTAAGAAAAGCACATTTGACACTCAAATCTGGTTTTTTGAGGTCTTTCCTCTACAAACTACAGTCTTCTCATCTAAGTAGGTCTTTTCATGTATGTGTAAAAAAAAGGATCAGATCCATTTTTTGACAAATCTGCAGCCTGAAGCCCCATCGCTCTGCACATCCCTTCCTTGGTAATGCAGCCAGGAGAATCACAGTCAGACTCCAAATTAAATGGATGATGGTTGTTGTGGATCTGAAGATGACGGCCACACAGACTGGCGAAACGTTAGGAAGAACAACCTTCAGAACACGGCCAAAGAGCCCGAAAACCCCACAACAACCATTAGATCCCGGCCGTGAAAGCCTTCACAAATACATTAAAGGGATGATGACTTCTCAGGGCACTAGTTCTGCCTTTCCAAGCTCCTCTGAAGCAGTCTGGCGGGAGAAACTGAAGGGGAAACTATGGAGCAAATCCCTTCTTGAGAAAGAGGCAGAAGAAACACATGCAAAATGTACAAGGTGGCCAGCCCTGAATTTTATGCACATTAGAAGCCACCATCCCAATCTCCCTGCCTTCACCTTATGCCACTGTGATCCAGCACGAACACCAGTTCTGCACTATTTCTACTCTCTCACACTCTACAAGGGTCTTCCATCCAGCTGCTTTTCTCCTCCCAAATTTGCTTAATCCAGAATCCACAACTTCCTTCCCCTGAAATCTAGCCCATTCTTGTGTGAGTAACTGCAGCCTGATAAAGTATATTCAATATACATATTTTTGAAGATAGAAATAGTCTTCCCCTTTGAATTGCACGGATCCAAACAGTGTGGTTTTGGTTATATATGGCTTTCCCCTGCTGCAAATAACCAAACAAAGGAAGCGTCGTTCGGAGACGCCTTTCTTTTCCTCCACCTCCCAAGCACAATGTCTCCCCAACCCTTCTGGCTTGTTCCCGCAGCACTGGTGTCATTCTTGTGGGAATGGAAGTAAGCCTGAAGGGAGCGTGTGGGAGCACATCACCAAGACAAGGCTGGCAGAAGTGAGTGCGTCGTGCTCTCAGTTCGGTGACCAGTATGTGAAGCAGACACTGTGAGAAGCGTGTGGGCAGCCAGGCTTGCACCCTGACAGACAGTGGTGAAGGCAGGGGGTGACTGGTGGGTTTGGGGGCAGTCGGAAAGAGGCTACCCCCTTCCTTTTCTTTCCCCTTCTATGCTGTCCTTGGGCATTTCTATGGGCCAAAGTTTGAGCAGGTACTTTGTGTAAGACAAGAAACAGATTGGCAGGGGAGGGATCCACCAGGAGAGTCCTATATCTTCCTTTGTTTTCCAATACTCTGACATTTGGTCCCATAAAAAATAAGCCAAAATGTAATCTATTATCCACATTAATAATTTTACTGCCTTTCAGGGGTATTTTTGCCCAGAATGTTTGTATTTTTTCACAATTCCACCACCGATGGAATTGTTTGTTTGTTAAAACCAGGCTTCTTCAGCGACTGTGCTCCTTGAGTTAATTTCCCCTTTATCAAAGCTTGGCTTGTGGAACTCTTATTTTATTCATAACAGTTTATCTTTTTCATTTGCTTAATATGCATTAGACACTTTGTCATTATGAGGTGACTGATTCTCTACTGGAGTAATATTTGATATTCCCCAATGCAATTATTGTGTGTGTTCAGTAAAACCCCTCTGAGAAACAGTTTGATGTGAGTGTGAGTTGTTGGGACCTAATGCAGGTTCAAAGCTTTCCTAGACAGCTGAGTTCCCAGAATGTTTGTGAGTTCATGCATATTTTTTCTGGACATCCTGCTTGGAAACAGTTCCTTCTGTGACTGTGCTAACAGTTTGATGGGAAGAAAGGAAATGAGAAGTGCTCTGGGCTCGGGGAGCACGCATGATCAAGGGGGGCGAAGTCAAAAAGACTTCTACAGATAGTCTGTGCAGGTGCAGGGAAACCCATGTATGTGAATTCACAGATGACCATTCAAAGAACTGCAGATACTAGAAAGTAAGTAACATGTCCTTCTGTGAAGGAGCAGAAAATGGGGACAGAAGGAATGAATTAAAGTACAGTGGTGCCTCGCTTGACGAGGATAATCCATGCCGTTGAAATCGCTGTTAAGTGAAATCCTCGTCAAGCGAAATTAAAAAGCCCATTAGAATGCATTAGAAACTGGCTAATACGTTCTAATGGGCGAAATACCTCATCGTAAAGCAAAGATCCTCCATAGGGCGGCCATTTTCCAGTGCCTGTCTTGCGAAAAATCCCTCCTAAAAACAGCAGGGGAGGGCATTTTGAGAGCCGGCGGCCATTTTGAAAATCGCCGATCAGCTGTTGAAAAAAGATCGCTTAGTGAAAAATCGGTTCCCGAAGCAGGGAACCAATCATCACTAAGCAAAAAAAAAAAAAAACCATTCAAACATCGTTTCGCGATCGCTTTTGCAATCGCAAAAACATCATTGTGAAGTGGATTCATCGTTAAACGGGGTAATCGTCAAGCGGGGCACTACTGTATCTTAGAAAAGAGCCGAACTAGAAAGCTGGCACCCTGAAGGGGAGTACTTCACACTGTAAAATTTTGTTGCAGTCCCCACTATCATTTCCCACATGGTAAGCAATCTTTATCTTCTCCCTGAATTCTAGCACTCAGTCTTAAAACATCACAACCTTAATGTGAGTTTCTGTTTGCATGGGATGCTGGCAGGAAACAAAGTAATTTCCAAAGGGAGTCAAAAAAAAAGAGAGATGGGCTACTAACACCAATATTCAGCATCAAATCATATGGTTGTTTACTGGGATGGCAAAAGAATGATGTACATGATGTGGATAAATGTATTCAAATTGAACGAGAACTTGGAAATAATTCCCTTCTCTCATGCAAATTTTATCTCTCTGGACATCCCTTTCACCTCTATCAAAGCAGCTGAGGAAAATAATAGCTCAATCAGCTGATTATCTTAGATGTTTTAAAACAGAAAAATGTTTATGTGTGTGTGAGAGTTCTGTGCCATCAAGTAAGAACCAACTTATAGCA